AGCCTCCTGCTTCAGGGCGCATGGCTGTCAGGGGTCAGGAAGGAATTCTGCTAGCTCAAACCACTCCTCACCACCATGTGGGGTGGAACGCCTCCTCTGATGCCCATTGGTCTGGTCCAGTCCATTATTTGGGGTGATGAATACAGGGATAGAAGGGCCCATTGGTCTGACAGCACAGCAAGAGGGTTTGCTGGCCCCCTGGTCCAGGCTGCATGTGGGGCTCTGGCCCAGAAGGACACTGGAGTGGCTGACCCCGCGCCCCCGTTAGAGACAGGCCCCCCCCCTTTATCTCCTGTTGGGTGGGGGCTGCGCGAGCCCAGGGTGGCTGGGCCAGGAGCTGCCACGGACACTCACCGGCCCCATGACGCACACGATCCTCTCCCGCAGCAGCCGGGAGTAAATGTCGTAGGCTCTCTCGCCGCGGCCCTGCAACACACACCCGGAGCTCAGCCCACGGCCAGCACTCCTCCAGGGGCAGGGAGGGAGTGCGGGGGGGGGGCAGGGGGGAGCCTGGGAGGGGAGCAGGATTCATGATTGCGTGTGGGAGCCCTGGTTTCGCAGCTCACAAGTGAAATGAGTTTGGTGGGGCTCAGTTCAGCTGCTAGACAATGTTAACAGCTCAGCCCAAAAGCCAACACCTGAACAGGCCCTGTCCAGAGAGACCCAGGGCTGGGCTAGAGGGGGCTGTGGGTTGGGAGTGAGGGGCACGGGCAGGGCTGGGCTAGCAGAGGGCTGCGGGTCGGGAGTGAGGGGCACTGGCTGGGCTGGGCTAGCAGGGGGCTGCGGGTCGGGAGTGAGGGGCACCGGCTGGGCTGGGCTGGCAGGGGGCTGCGGGTCAGGAGTGAGGGGCACCGGCTCACCGTCTGCTCCACCACGATGGGGATGAGCGGGATGTGGCTCACTGGCGTGCGGTGGAGGCTCCGGGGCGCGGTCACTGCTTGGCAGCCGGGCCGGAGGGCACGCTGGGGACAGACCCGGACGGTTAGGGGAGAATGAACCTCTGCCCCCGCCCCACCCGGGAATAGGTCACTTCCTAGCACTCCTGCCCCCACCACCCCCAACCCGCTCTGGGCCCAGCTCCCGCTCCACACTGCAGCACCCCCCTGCCCTGCTGCCACCGGAGCCCGAGGCAGGGACCCCCCCCGTCTCCTCCAAACAGGGGCCTGCCCCCGGCACCCCCACACCAGGGAGGGAGCTGAGCCCAGCGCCACCGATGGAATCCTCAGTTCCTACTCTAACCACCAGCCGGGATAGAACCCAGGAGTCCGGGATCCCAGCCCCCCGCTCTAACCCACCAGCCCCACTCCGCTCCCCGAGCCAGGCAGAGAACCCAGGAGTCCGGGCTCCCAGCCCCCCGCTCTAACCCACCAGCCCCACTCTGCTCCCCGAGCCCGGCAAAGAACCCAGGAGTCCGGGATCCCAGCCCCCCGCTCTAACCCACCGCCCCACTCCGCTCCCCAAGCCAGGCAGAGAACCCAGGAGTCCGGGCTCCCAGCCCTACGCTCTAACCACCAGCCCCCACTCCCCTCACAGAGCCGGGCAGAGAACCCAGGAGTCCGGGCTCCCAGCCCCCCCCTGCTCTAACCATTACACCCCACTCCCCTCCCAGAGCTGGGATAGAACCCAGGAGTCCGGGCTCCCAGCCCCCTCCCCACTCACTGCTATTCTCAGCAGCATCTTCTCACTCCAACCCAGCCCCACCCCTTCCCTGCCCCCGCGACCCGGAAGTGATGCCCTGCCCCGCCCCTCAAGAGGTGGAGCCTGTGGGAGTCATGGGATCAGGGCCCCTCAGAATGGAACTACAGCTCCCAGCATGCATGGCGCTGCCGCAGTGACTGCTGGGGATTGTAGTTCTATCCCCGGGCTGCTAGTTGGAGAAGGTGGAAAGGAGTCTAGTGGTTAGAGCGGGGTGGGGGGGTTTAAAAGCCAGGACTCCTGGGTTCTCCCCCCAGCTCGGGGAGGGGAGTGGGGTTTAGTGGTCAGAGCAGGGGGGGCTGGGAGCCAGGACTCCTGGGTTCTCTCCCCGGCTCTTGGAGGGGAGTGGGTGGTCTAGTGGTCAGAGCAGGGGGGCTGGAAGCCAGGACTCCTGGGTTCTCCGCCCCTTCCCCCGCCAGCATGATGACTTTGTGACCCAGTGCAATGGCTTTATGTGGCGGTGTCGTTGTGACTAGGACACAGAGCCTGACCAACACCCCCCTTCCCCCCGAGAGCTGGGGATGGAACCCAGGAGTCCTGAGTCTCAGCTCCAAACCACTCCCTAAAGAGGGCGACGCTGTGTCCAGAGCCAGCCTGGCCGTGATGGAGGAAGTGAGACAGATGATTCCTCAGGGTCCTGGTAGAGGCTTTCACCCCCCTGACTGTGGGTGGAAGCCCAGTGCTAAGCCGCCCCCACCCACCTCAGGGTCTCTAGTGCCCACCCAGATTTCACACCCCATGTTCTGCATCGCCCAGTCCATTGGGGAACCTGGCAGAGCCTGCAGCCCCCGCACACACCACACAGGGGCAGCAAGGAGCGAGGAATAGCCAGGCAGCCCGTTAGAAGTTGGGGGGCCAGGGTGGGGTCTCCCCATCCTGTCTCTCTCTCCAGCCCAGGTGCCCCCACAGGCTTGGTGCCATTGTGGCGGACGTTGGAGACACAACAGCCCCTGTAGGAATTGGGCTGAGACCTGCCCAACTCGATCCACCCAGGGACCGCAGAACAGGCTGGGTGTGAGAGGGGAGTGGCGGGCAGGCCACAGAGCCAGGCGCTGGCACTTGGGAAGGGCACCAGGATTTACGAGGTGTTAATTGATGGCGTGTGCCTGTCCCCACAAAGGGGCCACGCCCAGGGTGTGAGAACAGAGGGTGAAACCGGGCAATGATTAGATTGCGGAGGTGGGTCAGCTAGCGGGGACAAACCTCAGATGACTCAGATCACACCCCCTGGTCTCCCACTAGACCCCATGCCCCCACTAGAGATGAGGATAGAACCCAGGAGTCCCTGTACCCCTCTGAGCTCAGTGGCGTGTCTCTCTGTTTAGAACAGTGTAGCTAAAGTTTAGGGAATTCTCACTTTGGGGGGTCTTTGAATCCAGGGTTCACTTTGGGATTTAACTGCTGTAGTTCATGCTGCTCCTCCCCTAGGCAATGAGATATAGGTGTTAAAGCAGGGGCAGGGTAGGGACCCTGGACTCCTGGGTTCTGTCCCTGGCTGTGGGAGGGGAATGGGGTCTAGTGGTTACTGCAGGACTCTGGGGTTTTATTCCGCACTCCACTGACACGCTGTGTCCTTGGGTGAGGCACGCTCAGTGCCTCAGTTTCCCCTGTGTAGCCAGGGGCAAACACTTCCTGAGGTTCCCAGGAAGGGCCCCAGGAGCTGAGCCCTTTGGGCCAAGTCCATCCAAGATGTTACTGCAGGGCAAAGTGTTCTCACCCGGCCTCCTCCCCGCCCGCAGTAACTATCCCAAGGCGACTGGGAAAGAAGATAGGGCGCTCCCACGTGTCAGCGTCATTCCCTGTCCCCCGGGCGTGGGACGGTGCGATCCAGAGCTGGGGGGAGTGCAGGCTGAAGGACGACACCAGGCGCCCAGAGCAGCCGGGAGAACACGCCACAGAGAGGGGACTGGGGTGGCTTGGTTAGAGCGGGAGGGGGGCTGGGAGCCAGGACTCCTGGGTTCTCTCCCCAGCTCTGGGAAGGGAGTGGGGTCTAGTGGTTAGAGCAGGGGAGCTGGGAGCCAGGACTCCTGGGTTCTCTCCCTGGCTCTGGGAAGGGAGTGGGGTCTAGTGGTTAGAGCAGGGGAGCTGGGAGCCAGGACTCCTGGGTTCTCTCCCTGGCTCTGGGAAGGGGGTGGTCTCTAGTGGTTAGAGTGGGGGGGGGGGCTGGGAGCCAGGACTCCTGGGTTCTCTCCCTG